AAGCAGCTTCAGTCTAGGACAAGCAGCGAAACGTATCAAACCAAAAGAAAAGTCCAGAAGTACCATGACTCAATCTCCAGATTAACTACATAATGTATGTTTCACGCCCACGCAGTGTTTATATTAAAGTACGGTATGCCATACATTTAAATCTACAGCGGACCAGATACTCTCCCGCTTCATATGGGAGCGTTGACGCCGTGGCTCTGAATGAAAGCGACAAGAGCAAATAGGTTTTCTACATACGGTGCTTGTACTCGTCTCTGCGCGCCCGCCCTCAGAAGCGTCTCAGAGAACGACTTCCTAGCACGCGCGCCCACCCGCCCTCTACCCGGAGACATCTCGGTGTCAAGGGACGAACGTGAGCCCCGCCTCTCCACCCCCGAAGCAGCGCAGTCACAATTCAAATTTACTCTGTCGGTGAGAGGATTTCCCGATTTCATTTGGCTACGCTCGGAACACCAAGCAAGTGGAGCGCAATGGAAGAACTAAGCCCCAGGCTTCCCCCATCCCAACATCGGGAGAACTATCTTTAGAAACACCGTGACAAAGCGGAAGCTACTGAACGCCCAACTTCCCGTTTAGAAAGTGGTGCGTGGTCGCGTTCAGCTACCACGCTTACCACGCCTCTAAAGCAGCGGTGAAACGATCGGCGAACCCACGCTTCCGTTCAGTTGGAGAACTAGAGCCTCTAGTGTTTTTTTTTTCATTCGATTTTTGTTTCATCTTGGAATCGATACTTTTAGGCACTATAGGTGGTAGTATGATCCTTGGGTATTATCTGCTGTTGGATGTGACAAAGTTACTTTGTCCCCATCTCACAATATAATAATGATGCTATCTAGCCAAACATACTAGAATTAATGTTGCAATTCAATGAATATTTTCTTCCCTGCATTCAAAAGGAGTAGGCAATAAAAAGTCATCCCTTTCCCTGGTTAATTTTATAACCATTTTTTACAGACTAGTATGTTCTCAATTAAGTTATCACACAAAAAAGGTAAGGAAACCCCAACAGAAACACTGCTATTTAAATATCACCAATAAGGAAAAAAATAGTCCACGTAAAGCTTTTAGTCTTTATAATTTTATATGCTTAAGCTATTTCGGTTGGCTTTTCATTATTTTTTTAAATACCTCACCTTTCCTATAGGAACTCAAGGTAATATATATAACACTCCCTTCTCCAATATTTCCCAATAATGCTGTGAAGTAGGTTGTGCTGAGAAGTGACTTGCCCAAATCAACTAATGAACTTCTGAAAATGGACTTTGAATTTGAAACTCCTCAGTCCTAATCCAGGACCTTAACTATTATGGCCCTCAGTGCTTGCTTATAAGTGTTTAGGACCTGAATGCAATTGTGGCAGCAATCTAAGAATGTATTGTCGAAGGCTTTCACGGCCGGCATACGATGGCTGGTGTGGGTCTTCCGGGCTGTGTGGCCGTGTTCTGGAAGTTTTGTTTGATTGGCTGGTGTGGGTCTTCCGGGCTGTGTGGCCGTGTTCTGGAAGTTTTGTTTGATTGGCTGGTGTGGGTCTTCCGGGCTGTGTGGCCGTGTTCTGGAAGTTTTGTTTCCTAACGTTTCGCCAGCACCTGCGACCGGCATCTTCAGAGACCCGCATCTTCAAATACCCACAGAAGGGTCACATCACCCTGGGCACAGAGAGAACTGCTCCTGTCTGTGCTCCTGCACTCTGAAGATGCCGGTCGCAGGTGCTGGCAAAACGTTAGGAAAAAAAACTTCAAGAACACGGCCACACAGCCCGGAAGACCCACACCAGCCAATCTAAGAATGGTTTAAACATCAGCTCATGAACACTGTTTTAACTGAATGCAGTTGTCACAGCTGAGATAATTGCCCACAATAAAGATACATGAAAATAACTTGAACATCAGACAGAAGTACAGTTGTGGTTCATTATGACAACTAATGGGCCACAATTAATATTGAAAAACTGCCAATGTATTCTGTTCCACACTTTCTTGCACTCAGAATTCCAGTATACTGGGAATATAGTTTGTCCCACAGATGTATATTTCATCTAAAACACAGTGAATGGTATCCAGCTAAATTCAGCAATTTTATGCTGAATTTAATGGAAAAGTCCTGTTTGTGCACACTCTTTCATACAAATCAATAAACCTGCAAAGTAACTGACTCTGTGTGCATTAACTATAGTACTACAGTATTCTCAGGAAACTGATGCTATAATTTATGCACAGAAATGTGATGTATGCATAAACACGCAGAGTGCTATGGCTATATTTGCTTTTTGTTGTAGAAAACATTTTGTAGATTTTGTAGAAAATAGCAATCCAGAGTGAACTGTCAATTTTCTAAATTCAATTTCTAAGAGTATTTTGTGCAAATGGAAAACAAAAGTAAAAAAAGACTGATTCCAAAACTTGAAAAGAAAAAGGCTGAAAGACAGCTGTATTTTTTGGCCACTGAAGAAATTTCAGAGAAAACAATTTAAAAAGAAAGTAATGAATGATCCATTTCCCCTCTTAATTTACACTGTTGGAAAAAATCACGATAATGTTTCTATCAAAACAAGCCTTTGGAGAAGAATAAATTAATTCAATTTTCTGGTTTCAAGCCTCCAAGCACCTGTCAGGTATCGTAGTCGTATAAAAAGCAGGTCCCTGCCCATCTGCAACCAACTCCAGAAGGGAACCAACTTAGAACCTATGATTATTAAAAAATAATAAACATTATGTTATATGTACATATAGAAGGCAGTTACTTCAGAATTACCAACATTAAATTTTTAATTTGCCCTGAAACTGTTGTTAAATTTATAGTTCTAACGTGAAATGTAGCAAAGAGGCACAAAGTTATAATTTCAGGTGAGAATGGACAATATTCAGTTGTACAGGTAGTCCTCGCTTAACAACCATTTAACAATGGTTTGAAGTTATGACAGCCTTGGAAAAAAGTGCTTTATCACCTGTACTCACCCTTATGACTGTCGCAAACCATTGCACCACCCCCCGTGATCATGTGATCATGACTTGATACCCTTTTTACAGTGGTCATTAAGTGAATCACTGTGATCGTTAAAACAAATCACTGCAGTCATTAAGTGAATCACATGGTCGTTAAGAGAATTCTGGCAAAAAAGTGCATTGGAGAAGCCGGATTTGTTTAACGACCATGGTAATTCACTTAAAGACTGTGGTGATTTGCTTAACAACCATCGTAAAAATGGTCGTAAAATTTTATCTGGTCCCATTTAACGACCAATTTTCTGGTCTGTATTGTGGTCGTTAAGTGAGGACTGCCTGTATCATTTTGCTAGCAGATTATTCTTCCCACATTTTCCACTCCCCACATTCACTTCAGAGAGTTGGGATGCTCCAAAGCAGATCTGCGTGGAGAGTTTGCATGGGCAAAGATTTGCTTAGGTAATGGTAAATGTATCCATTTTTAAAATACTATTTGAAATTAAATTAAATTAAATTAAATTAAATTAAATTACTAAAAATGCTACCTAATATAGCATAACCAATTTCTATATCCTTAGAGAGGATTAGAATTGGATGTAGCGTATAGAGAAAGCTACTAGACTATTCTCAAAATAACTATGTTATTTAACCCTGTCATAATTTCCCTGTAGGCATGGTTTTATATCTTTGCTCCACCAGTGATCAAAATACATTCCTGAGTGCCTCCAGTTTTAGGCATATTTACAATAAATTGTACTGGATCCCCCCAAATCCTGACTATTTTAACTAATTTTACTTTCAATGGGTCACTTATCATATTTTTGAGAACAGATCCAGATTGGAATATCTATGGACTGGAATGTTCTGAGTAATAGGAAAAAAACAAAGCACATGGCCCACTCAGAAGCCACTGTGATTCTGCTAGTTGTGAAAGAGGACAAGAAGTGCTAAAAAGACTTACAATTAGTTGCTGGAGTTGGGAAGTATGTATCTCGTCCCTTCCTTTGCAGCAATCTCCACATACCCATTTCCAATTTAATTTAATTGTGCTGTTTTTTAAGTTTTACTATTAGAATTAATGTTACCAAGTGGCTAAAGGTTTGGTATGTATGCACTCTGTGTATGCGTCACTAGTTATAAGCTTTATGGTACATTTAAGAAATTGGAAAAACTGGCCTTTGTTGATTTGGTTGTTCATTTCTATATATAACACTGGCTCACGTTTTGCTGATAAGCATTTA